AGTGATTTGAGATGTATAATATTTTAAAAGGAAACTGCAAGAGTATGGATATTTTGCATTTACTTTAAAAGATAAGAACTAGCTTAAACTTCCAATAAAATAGAGTAGAATATTTCTTACCTAGATTATGCTGTATGTATATTTTAAATGAAGAATTAAGTTCATAATTTTTGCCTGAGGAGAAAAACACAAAATGAAGAATTATAAAATGAGTTAATGTTCATCAGAATGAAATAATACAATCTAATTGTATAACTCCTTTCTTTTACTTTTTGTTTGTTTTATTGAAGGCTATTTATTGAAGTTCACGCAAATTGTTCAATCTGCAAAAAACACTCCCAAACAATAGGAATGAGCTTGTACATTTGAGGGGAAATTGTTCAAATCCAGACCCCTCCTACCCTCCAGCATGAACTACCCAAACAGATTATTGACTCACATTCGAGCTGTTTTTAGGCAGACAGAATCATTATGTAAACATGGAACAGGTACACTTCAATGTCAAGACTGAGAAAAGAACTCTCAAAGAGTCTGTTGACTCAAAAGAGCAGGAGGGAAGGAAATATATAACTTGGTTTTTGCATTCTGCAGTAACGAAGTATTGGGGTTGCACAGTTGAGTTTTTGAAAGAACAGAGACAGATAGTTGTGCCTGCCCTATATTCTGACTGATTGATATTCAAATTTATGTTAATTATTTATAAAATATTGTTATACAGAAAATATATATTTTCAACCTATGATTATTTGTCCGTTTATTCAATATATATGGCTGCCCATTTCAATAAGTGTATCAAAGGGGGGCAGGGTTTGAAGGACATAGACTAATCCTGTTGGCTTCATCATTGTTCTGCCCCTTCATATTAGAGGAACAATACTAAATTCTGTTTCAGATTTTCATCGAATTCAGGTAATTGTTATTCTGAAATAGTATGTGAAATTGATAGATGACTGGATAAAGCCTGTTCAGATAAAAGGGAACTTTTCTTAACTGGAAGACAATGTCCTCAACTGAGTTACTACCACAGCTTAAAAGCACTGAATATATTTCTGTAGATGGTAGGTTTCTTTAATTAAAAATTGGGCAACACTGTTGTAGATATTTTTTTCTTTATTCCACATTTATTATTTTTATAAGTAGGTCAAGCCTGTGAACATACTTTATATTCCCTCCTCCAATTTTCTCCACAACCCTGTGAGGTAAATTGGGCTGAGAGTGAGTGAGTGACCATAAGTCACTCAACCAGCTTTCATCCTAAAGCAGGACTAGAACTCAGACTACTAGTTTCTAGACTTAACCACTAGACCAGACTGACTCAAATTTTGTTCCTCCTTGGCAGATACCATTTGCTGGTTTATGTAGACAATTTATATGGCACCCAATCTCATTGCAGTGACTGTGTGTATGTGTATTACTTTATTAAATTTCTACAAAAGGTAAAATTAAATAAGAGGAAAAGTCCAAGAAATGAAAAAAAAGTAAGAAAAGAGTAATTTCAACTTTCTTCAATACAGTTACAAAGATAAAATACAAGCTGTTGCTCTAAAATGCAATAGCATACACTATTTCTATAATACACACATGACCATTGCGATGCCACAATGTTTGTAAGTGTGAAAACTAGTCATAAGTCACTGTTTTTAGTAATGTAGTCACTAAACAATTGGTTGTAAGTCAAGGTCTACCTGTAGTTAAAAGTAATGAGACATGCAAAAATAATTTACAATTTTTACTATGTACTATACTTGCCCTGGATTGCTGCAGTTAAAACATATTCATTCTCTTACTAATCCAGTAAGACTAGATTCCGCATTTCTCTTTCTCCCTCCCTCGAATTTACACACAAGCGACTCAGGACAATTTACAAAATATTAAAGCAAGATTTCTTACAAGTAACAAATACACTGGACCTGATGTTCTCTGATATAATTTACATAAAATTCCTAATCACATTGGTTGCCTTATGATTATTGGAACATAAGATTAATAAAATAGTGCATTGCTGTAACTGGATTTATTTATTTATTAAATTTATATCCCGTCCTTCTCCCCGAAGAGACTCAGGGCGGTGAACAGCCGAGAATTAAAATAACATACAATATAAAAGTTAAAATAATTAAAAATAAATTAAATTAAACGGCCGCCTCAATTTAAAACCCCTAGCAATACAATTAAAAAACTAACCCATAAAATTATTCAGGCCAGGCTGGCTCGCTGAAATAAAAACGTCTTCAGGGCCTTACGGAAAGTGCGGAGATCCGGAATCAGCCGTATTCCGGGAGGTAGCTTGTTCCAGAGGGCAGGTGCTCCCACAGAGAAGGCTCTCCCCCTGGGGGCCGCCAGCCAACATTGCTTGACTGACGGCACCCTGAGGAGGCCCTCTCTGTGAGAGCGTATTGGCCGGTGGGAGGTTATCGGTAGCAGAAGGCGGTCTCGTAAGTACCCTGGCCCTATGCCATGGAGCGCTTTAAAGGTGAGAACCAACACCTTGAAGCGCACCCGGAAGACCACCGGAAGCCAGTGCAGCTCGCGCAGGAGAGGTGTTATATGGAGCACCATGTCACTCCCGTGATCACCCGCGCAGCCGCATTCTGGACCAGTTGGAGCCTCCGGGTGCTCCTCAAGGGGAGCCCCATGTAGAGAGCATTAGCATAGTCCAGGCAAGAGGTGACGAGAGCATGACTGCATAAGGAATCCGGACTCAGAAAGGGGCGCAACTGGCATATCAGGCGAACCTGATAAAAAGCCCCCCTGGCCACAGCCATCATATGCTCTTCTAAAGACAGCCATGTGTCCAGGAGGACGCCCAAGTTGCGAGCCCCCTCTGTGGGGGTCAATGACTCGCCCGCAATAGCCAGCGATGGCGCCAGCTGGCTATATCGGGATGCTGGCATCCACAGACACTTGGTCTTGGAAGGGTTGAGTCGAAGCCTGTTCCTCCCCATCCAGACCCGCACAGCCTCCAGACACTGGGACATCACTTCAAGGGCATCGTTGAGGTGATTTGGGGTGGAGATGTACAGGTCTAGATAGACAGTTTCATCCAGGTACTGCGGGAGCTGTTGCGCAACCACACTCTCAACAACCTTCGCAATAAAGGTTGGAGACAGGACGGTAGTTAGCCATAACAGCCGGATCCAGAGAAGGCTTCTTAAGGAGGGGCCTCACCACCGCCTCTTTCAAAGCAGGTGGCAGGAAACCCTCCCCAAAGAAGCATTTATAATCCTCTGGAGCCAGCCTCGCGTAGCCTCCCGGGTAGCCAGTACCAGCCAGGAGGGACACGGGTCCAGTAAACATGTGGTTGCGTTTAACCTCCCCAGAATCCTGTCACGTCCTCAGGAGCCACAGGATCGAACTCGTCCCAGATAACATTCTCAAGACCTGCCTCAGCCACCCCGCCGGAATCTACCCAATAGAATCTACCCAAGCCTTCCCGAATCTGAGTGATTTTATCGTGCAGATACTGTGCAAAATCCTCAGCCTGCCCTTGCAAGGGATCCTCCCGCGCTCCCTGATGTAGGAGGGAGCGGGTCACTCTAAACAAGGCGGCTAGGCGATTATCTGCCGTTGCAATAAGAGCGGAAAAGTAATCACACTTTGCCGCTTTTATCGCCACTAAATAGGCCTTAATATGAGACCTAATTAGTGTTCGATCGGATTCAGAGCGACTGGCCCTCCAACCACTCTCTAGGCATCTTTTCCGGCGTTTCATCCCCCTCAGCTCCTCGGTGAACCAAGGAGCTGGGCAGGTGTGACGCCGGGTCAGAGGCCGCAAAGGCATGACACGATCCAAGCCCCGGCGGCCATCCTATCCCATGCGGCCACCAGATCTTCAGTCGAGTCGTGAGCCAAAGCCTCAGGAAATGGCCCAAGCTCCCTCTGGAATCTCTCTTATATTTGCACATATAAGCCATCAATTATTTTTTATTTGCTACGGTGGCTAGTTTCATGCAATATTCTGTGTCAAAATCAAACAAATTACATTGTGGCTTGAGGCAAGTGTGAGAAAATAAATGTTAACGCTCTGTTGTTATAAAATGTCAAAATCCATGCCAAAAGGAAACACATTGCTGTGGAACTTTGCTTTGGACCTAAGTGAGTGAAATCCAGAGAGACTTACAAAAAGAAGACCCTGTCTTATATTTTTTGAACCCTGAAATAAGCCTTATTGCCATGCACTCAAAAGCCCGATTGGGCTTATTATCAGGGGATGTCTTATTTTGGGGGGAAACAGGGTATAATAAAAAGTAAGGTCTTTTTTTTTTATCAATTTCTCCTTGAGATTAATAAATTTCCATTTCGATTGGCTTCTGGAAAACGCAGAAACATTTTAAATTTATCTTTCAGAGCTATATTGATCATTCAATTCAGTGGTGAAATTCAATTTTTTAACTACAGGTTCTGTGGGCGTGGCTTGTGGGTGCGGTGTGGCTTGGTGGGCACGGCAGGAGAAGGATACTGCAAAATCCCCATTCCCTCCCCACTCCCAGGGGAAGGATATTACAAAATCTCTATTCCCACCCCACTCTGGGACCAACCAGAGATGGTATTTGCCGGTTCTCCGAGCTACTCAAAATTTCCGCTACCGGTTCTCCAGAACCTGTCAGAATCTGCTGGATTTCACCCCTGGTTCAATTCCACCTGCTGTCCATTTTGGAGGAGAGAGGCACGAACAACTGCTTAGTTTGGCGCCGCTCTTTGGGATGCAGCATTTTCAGCGTGCGGAAAATATAGCTAACGCACGTTTAGAATGGTGGTACTAAATTATTACACATCTGTGTATCTGTGCGACGGATTAAAAACAGGGAATCCACACTATTCCGGCCGCCCAAGGGAGGGAACACCCCGCCTCCCATACGTAACTTGCCACGCCCACAATCCTCTTCAGCCAATCCCAGCTCGCTTTCGCTCTCCTTCGGCCGGCTCAGAAGATGGCCCAATAGAGAAGCTCTGGCTCTTTTCTAAAAAAAAGGGGGAGGGGAGGAGGAGGGGAGAAGCGGAGCTGCTCTCCCACTTCTAAAGCGGCTGCCGGCTGTTGCTTAGCTTTCCTGTCGCTGTAGGGAGATTCAGTGTTACTTTCCTCGGCGCGGTCCAATTTCTCCTCTTCCGTGCCTGGAGCAAGAGAGGGAGTCCAACTGCAGGGAGTTCCGCAGGTAATCTGTCTTTTCCCTCTCCGCCTTTCTACGAACCGAATGAGCAGGTGGTGGATCCCCGGCCAGTGGTAGCCAAGAGTCCGCTACGGTTCCCCTTTCATATCTGCTCAGCGTCCCCTGGCTCAGTTGTGGTGATAAGGGAGCTTCACCTTTGAGGAGAAATACTCCACGGCCATGTTCCCTCTTCTGAAATGGATCAAAGGGAACCCGAGCTTGCTTGGACGAATGCATCACTCGGCGGCAGGCTGGAACAAAGACCAGATAATAGCCGCTTCATCATCACCACTACCACCTTCCCTTTCGGTAGCTTGGCTCGCCTTAGCTTAAGGCTGCGTGCAGCTGAAACAAGGGGTTATCGGAGTTAAGAGTGCGGCTTGTCTCGCCTCTCTCGAGCTCAAACCTCTGTTAAAATATCATTTCGGCGGCGGGCATGGGAAAGTCAGAGAGTGGCCGCTTACCCTCCCGCCGCCCAGTGCGAGATTAGCACTTTTGTGTATAGTTTAGATGAGTAGGTGAGGAGTGAGTTGTGGTTAACTGGTGGCTTGAGGCACTGGTCATAGCCTGGTGAATGTTCCTCTTGTACAATGTAATCGACTACCAGACTCCAGATGGGAGTTACCACTAAGGAAATGAGCATAGCCTTAACTGCATCCTGTTGCTTTGCATCCTGCTTAGGATCCTTACCTGGGTAGTTCAAAAAAAAAAAAAAAGCACCTGCTTAAAGGAGAAATAATATGTTTCCATCCTACCTGCCAGCCACCTGTCAAAGTGCTGCCAGAGGGACTGCTCTACCAATCAAAACCCACTCTGCAGCTCTGGCAACCTTAATGGACATTTTCAAGGAAGCATAAGACAGGAATGGGAGAGTTACAACTGAAGGGAATGTTACTTGGATTCCTTCCCTGTAAAAGGGTTATGACTGAGGATGATTTCACAAATTAAAGCCTCTTCTAAAAGAATGCACTCATAATAACCCGGGGGGGGGGGGGAGAGAGAAAGGGTGGAGATGAAGCTTTCAACATATGCAAATTCACAATATGCCTTGCTTGCTATTCTCCTGCTTTGAATGCATCAATTACTCTTATGCTTAATGAACCCAGCTAAATCTGCTTGTGTATTAATATTTTAGATGGCATTCTCAAGAAATGAAAACCGAAAAGACAATTTATAACTTGTCTCAGTTTGTTTTATGGAATTTAGTAATGGACTTATGGGAAAAAAGCAATGTAGTAAAAATAGAATGCAGTATATGTGGGAGTGGTAAAACTATTGTTTCCTAGATTAATATAGGAGTGTTATTTAGCACAAAAAGGGAGGATATTTTAGATGTCTCTACCTGAAGCAAAGCAATAAGTGTCACCCAACTCTGGACCCCAAATCAAGATGCATAGATTCAGAAACCAGTCTTGACATTCTCTCATTGGGGCAGAAAAATCCGTCTGCAATTCACCCTCTCTGTGGTAGTAAAAATACAATATCAGCATCAAGTAATTAGCAAAATTCTATGCATTCATACAATCTAAAATTAACAACCTCTTACCTAATGGTAATGCCAGCCAAGACCCTCGGTTTTTGTTAATGAGGGAAGGGACCTAATGTCACTGGGAAGGATGAGAGGTTATGTGTACCTTAGGTGTCAAAACATCTTGGAACACTCTTCACCTTAAACTTTTATTATATGTATGCACACAAATCCCTTTCTTAAAAAATAAAATAAAAAAACCCAGATTTTAGAGAATTAGAAGCCATTCTAAAAGAAAGGAGGGTCAAATATCATATTTTATCATTTGAAGAGTTCTGCCTTTAGGATGGGAGGAAAAACTTTGAAGCATTAATATTGTATTGTCCTTGCAGTAGTGAATGCCTCAGCTTATGTTAAGGCATGGAAAGATCAAGAGGTGCTTTGAATAGCCAGTGTTGCCAATTCATATTTGCAAGTTATTTCCTGAGGAGTAAATCCAGTTGGGTTTGGTTGAATTAACATGTCACACTATTCCTAGACATTGTAATTTTATGCCAGTGGTGAACAATATTTAGAGGTCAGAGACTGATTTCAGAAATGTGGGAGGCGCTAATAGCTACTGCAGATGGGGCAATTATAAAAAGCCAGTACAACGTGTTACATATATAGTATTTTGTTTCTTTCCCACTTTTTGGGGATGGGTGATATTTATGAGGTTAGGTTTTAAAATTGTATTTTAGGTTTTATTGCCTTTTTCATGTAAATGTAGTGAGAAACTGTTCTAATACAGTTGTGCAATTGTACCACTGAAATTTAGTACTAAAATGAAAGAAGATTCCACTGACTGCATATAGCCTCAGGTTGCCTGATCCTTTTCTGTGAGCTAAACTGAAATCTGAGGATCTGGATAAGCAAAGGCGTAAGAAAACATAATACAAGATAGGTGGAAGGAATGCAGGCACTAGTGAACTGGGCATCAGAAAACCCAGTAGAAAGATAAACGAGAAAAGCTTGAGATAAAATGTAGTAGAGAAAAAGAGAAGATGAAGGGGAGAACTTGAGAAAGAGTCTCAACAAAAAGGAACCAAATTAAAAGTCAAAAATGAATATCACTGTCAGTAACAGAGCTCATACCAATAGATAAACTGTTCCCTTTAGGGTTATTATACAGTCAAGTGAAAAAGTAAGTACAGACCATGTAATTTTTTTTTTTTTACAAAATGGGCATGCCAATATTTTATCTTTTTTAGAACAATATATAAAGATAAAAGTCATTTAACTGAACAAAAAAAAAAAGCCTATGAAAATTGACTTTGCAATTATTTATTTTTTAAAAAAGCAGGCCATTTCTTTCTGCAGAAAAAAAAAATCCTTGATTCCAATAGCTAATATTGCCCTCTTTGACAAAACAACCTCAAGTAGGCATTTATGATAACTCTCCCCTTTCTCTGACATTGACCAGGAAGAAGGGTTTTTTTCATATAGATTTTTTTTTCAGCTGGACAACGTTTGAGGCATTTCTTGCATACACAGCCCATTTCAAATCACCCCATAGCATCTTAATAGGGTTTAGATCTGGGCTTTGAACTGGACAGTCCAGAACCATCCATTTCCTTGTCCCAAAGGTGCTTTTTCAAGAGGCAACTGGACTTTCAGGTTTTTCTTTGAAGACATTTCGCTTCTCATCCAAGAAGCTTCTTCAGCTCAGACTGGATGGTGGGGAATGGAAGGGCATTGGTAAGGCTCTCTACCATCCAGTCAGAGCTGAAGAAGCTTCTTGGATGAGAAGTGAAATGTCAAAGAAAAACCATAAATCCAGTTGCCTCTTGAAAAAGCACATTTGGGACAATCATGACCTTATTTATTTTATTATTTTATTTTATTTTATTTTATTTTTATACCGCCCTTCTCCAACAGGACTCAGACTATGGAGACTGAGAGTCTCCATAGACATCTATTTCCATTTTCTCCCCCCCCCCCCGCCCACTACTACATGATCTTCTAGGTAGTGGAATGATTGGTGTACAATTGTTTAGCAATGTTTTTTAAAATCCTTCCAAACTAAGCATCATTATAAATATTCAATAATCTTCTTTCTGAAGGCCTCAGAGAGCTCTTTCACTCTAGGTATGGTGCTAAACATATCTCAACAGTGACAACAAATAAAACTAAATACCGTATTTTTTGCGCTATAAGATGTACTCTTCCCCCCAAAAAAGTGGGTGGAAATGTCTGTGCATCTTATGAAGTGAATATTACGTCACAGACCAGCCCGTGGTGGGAGGAGGGGTTATGGTGGTGGTGACAGGCAGCGGTGGGGAACGGCCTGTCACCGCCTATTGCTGCCGCCTGTTGCTGCCACCACCTTTCACCCCCACCCTTCACTGCCGCTGTTCGTCGCTGCCGCCTATTGGCGGTTGGATCAGCCTCCTGGAATACCATCGATCAGCTGTTCCAGGCGGGGGGGATCGCTGCTGCTGTTCACAGCCACTGCCTGTTGCTGCTGCTGTTTGCTGCCACAGCAGCAACAGGTGGCAGCGGCAAACAGCAGTGGCGATCCGTGCTGCTTGGAACAGCTGATTGTCAGTATTCCAGAAGGCCGATCCAACCACCGATAGGCAGAAGCGATGAGTGGCAGCGATAGGTGGTGGCAGTGAACGGCGGCAGCGGTGATAGCTGGCAGCAGCAATAGGTGGCAAGCGAGAGCAGCTGGTGGCGGCGATAGATGGTGGCGGCGGTGAGCAGTGGTGATAGGTGGCAGCAGCAACAGAATAGACCCGGGTCCCAGGAGAAAAAGTCCATTGTGGGGACAGCCTCACCTATGGGGAATTTCTTCTGTAGCTTCAAGGGCTTTGGGCTAAAACCATATAGGGTTTCCTGCCTGAGAAGGTGGTTGGACTAGAACGGGTGTCTGCAACCTGCGGCTCCCGAGTCACATACGACTCTTTAGGCCCTCTGCTATGGCTCCCTGTTGGATGATCCCACCACTGGCTGGCCCCACCCCTCACCCTCCCCTCTCAGTCACTCTTTGCCTGGCCTGAGAAGGTAAGGGCGATGGCGGGGAATGAAGAAGAGGCCAGGGCAGAGACAGAGAGATACAGAGAGAGGGGGGGGAGAGAGAGACATAGATACAGAGAGAGGGGGGGAGAGAAGGGAAGGAGGAGGAGGGAGGGAGAGAGAGAGAGATCTCAAAAGGGTTTTGTGGTTCCCATTGTTTTTTAGCAACCAGTTCTCTGCCCTAATGACCAGTTGGGTAGGCGTGGCTGGGGGGATGTCATGTGACTGGTGAAAGTGAATGATGTTGAGTTGGCCACGCCCACCAAGGTTTTGTGGCTCCCGGTGTTTTTTTTCAGTGGGAAATGGGTCCAAATAGCTCTTTGAGTGTTTAAGGTTGCAGACCCCTGGATTAGAAGATCTCCAAGGTCTCTTCCAACTCTGTTATTTTGCTATTCTACCTACCTTCCTTCCCCTCCCTCCCTTTCTTCTCCAACACTGTTGTTTTTTAAAAAGGGATTGGAGAAGCAATTGACTGACACGC